GTACATCGTCACCTCCGCACCTCTTCACCTCCAACACCTCTTCTACCTCAAGCACATCCAGCACCTCTTCTACCTCCAGTACATCGTCTACCTCCAGCACCTCTTCTACCTCCAACACCTCTTCTACCTCAAGCACATCCAGCACGTCCTCCAGCTCTTCTACCTCAAGCACCTCTTCTACCTCCTTCACATCTTCTACCTCAAGCACCTCTTCTACCTCAAGCACCTCTTCTACATCCAGCACATCCAGCACCTCCTCTACATCCTCCACCTCTTCTACCTCAAGCACCTCTTCTACCTCCAGCACATCCTCCACCTCGAGTACATCCGCTACATCAAGCACCTCTTCTACCTCCAGCAGCTCTTCTACCTCAAGCACATCCAGCACGTCCTCCAGCTCTTCTACCTCAAGCACCTCAAGCACCTCCTTCACATCTTCTACCTCAAGCACCTCTTCCACCTCAAGCACCTCTTCTACATCAAGCACCTCTTCTACCTCCAGTATATCTTCCACCTCCAGCATATCCTCTCTTCCAAGCACCTCTTCCACGTCAAGCAGTCCTTCTAGCACGCTTACAAGGTCCAACAAAAGCTCCAGTGCCAGCGCAAGCACGACGTCTGGTGCCTCTGGTATATCATCGGTCCCCAGTACGTCCTCTGCCTCTAGCAGCCTTTTCACCTCAAGCACATCTGTGAGCCGCAACACCTCTTCGACCTCGTCTACTTTGCCAACCTCCAGCCCCTCTTCAACCTCCGATACCTCGTCTACTGCTAATACTACTGCTAAAATCTCCAGTACCTCGAGCGCCTCTGCCACCTCCAATACATACTCTACTCCCAGCATGTCTTCTGTATCCAACAGCTCCTTGACATCCAGTGCCTCTAAAACCTCTCGCTCAAGCTCCTCCCCCGACCTCTCTACGTTCAGCAGCTCTGCAGCTTCTGATGTCTCTTCTACCTCTAGTGTGACGGGCACAGACTTTGTCTTGAGCACCTCTGCTTCTTCTCACACGAGTTCAACGTCTAGCCGAAGCTCTGCTTCAAGTGCCACTTTGAACGCAACTTTTGCCCCAGGCACTGGCCCCATGGCAAGCACTAGTTCACCTTCAAACGCGAGTTCTTCTTCAATCACTGCACTGAGCTCCAGGAGCAGGTCAACATCGAGCACGGGCCCGACATTGAGCACAGATCCCACCTCCAGGACGACTGCAATTGCCAGCTCTACCACTACCCTCCCTCCAAACTTTTCCAGCACACCCCCGGCTTCACGTTCCAGCTCCAGTCTTGGGGCAAGCTCTACGACAAACGCTCAATCAAGCACTTTATCCGCAACCCGGCCTGGAGCCAGTACGATCGTATCGACCGATCAGACTACGAACCCACCCTCATCTTCAATGAGCACTGTCATGGTAAACCACACTTCCATTGCAACGGCCACTCACAACAACTCGGCTGTTGCCACCTCGGGCCAAAGCAGCACAAATGCTGGAGCTTCGACAACACCGAGTGGTCCGTCTTCGATAGACGACACCTCCTCGGTGGCGCCTACTCAAACTACGTCGGGGCAGCTTGATCCTCCCTCTTCAGAGTCCACTTTAGCTTCTGTCGCCTCCACTGCATCAACTAGCGTGAGCAGTTCCCACTCCTACTCGCCCAGAAATCGGCCAGTTTCAACGGAGGACTTTGGTGCGTTTGCCTGTACTGTCACGCGCGTGTTTTGGCCATACGTGTAGAGCACCCTGTTTCTCACTCTATTTTTTTGCCTTGGCGACCAATTGTATGTGTTTGGATCGATGGCAGGCAATCTGACCACTACAGCCACGACGATACGATCGACTCGAGCTCTTGCATCACCGCCTTCGCAAACAAACAACCCCGGCAGCGTAGCTGCATCAAGCTTAAAAACAATGAGTGCAGGCTCATCGGATCTGATCCTCATCATTGTCCTCATCATCTTGGGCGTCCTTATTGCTGTGCTGCTGTACTATGCCTGGAGCAAACACAAGCGTTCACAACGCATTGGCCCTGTACCTGACTTGGAAGCAGCACCTCAAGCAGACCCAAACTCAGCTTTGAACGCGAGCGCAGCCTTACCCCCAACCGCAACGGTGCCGGCAGCCTCGCCGTCATGCAAGGCTTCCCGGAGCTCCATGGAGACTGTGGCTACAGCCTCGCCCCTGCTGCTAGGGTCACCGCCGAAGCACTCGCTGAGTGGGCCCCTCAGGCCCCCCGTCTCCTTGCCCGCAGTTCTCAATCCGACGACACCCTCTACTGGGACATCTCCGCAGCGCGCCTTTGCTTTGCCGCCCATTGGCCCTTCTTCCAGCTCATCAACCCCGCTGCGTGTTGGCGTTCTTGGTGGGTCTTCTGCATCTGCGACGTTGGCGAGCCCGACACGACTTCCGCCCTTGGCGGGTGCAACTGCGAGCGGCTCGCCCGCACCTTCGGCACTGCAACGTGTGCGGGAATTATCACTGCAGAACAAAGTTTCGCCGCTTCAAGAGGCCCGTCACATGAGCGCCATGCGACGCGGTGTATTGCCAGATCATGATGGGGACGGCACAGACTTTTTGATGGCAAACGTCAGCCGACTCATGCGTTCATCCTCCTCCTCGCGAGCTTGAGAGCAGCCCAGCTCGGGCGCAATCATGTGACTGGTGCTGGCCACGGGCGGAGGTTTGCCTTGGCGCTTGGTTTTTGCATCATTCCGTGTGTCAAATCTGCGTGCCGAACCCCTGTAAATAGTGTCAATACGTGCTCATGTTAGATGGGTGGGTGTTGTGGCGTGTGTTCGAGGAAACGGTGTTTACGCGTGTGCACGCCCGCTGTGTGTGTGTGTGTGTGTTTATCAGTTTGATCCTCCGCTCTGCGAGCGACACATTCTTGCCCCAGCGACCTAGAATTTAGAATCTACAACATTTTTGCGAAAACTAGCCCCTTGACCTTTCACCTTGCTCCTCCACGGCCAACTCTACCATTACCCCCACCCCCTCATCCACACACACACACACACACACATTTGTTCACCTCTCTCTCTCTCTCTCTCTCTCTCTCAAACTCTCTCTCTCTCTCTCAAACTCTCAAACTCTCTCTCTCTCTCTCAAACTCTCTCTCTCTCAAACTCTCTCAAACTCTCTCAAACTCTCTCAAACTCTCTCAAACTCTCTCTCTCTCAAACTCTCTCAAACTCTCTCAAACTCTCTCAAACTCTCTCAAACTCTCTCAAACTCTCTCAAACTCTCTCAAACTCTCTCAAACGCACACACGCGCGTGCATTTTTGTCTGACAAAAAGAGACCAGCGCGATGGCGGACGGTTTACAGTTGAACCTGAACATCGCGACCTCGTCCCCGAGCAGTAAAACGGCAGCCGGCGGTGGACGACAGCGGTTTTCGTCGCGGGAGCGTTTTGAGCATCGTCGGCAGGTATGATTGGTTGTGGACGGGCGAGAGCCTCGGCCTCGGTGTGGGAAGGTAGACTAAGATATAACTCGCGAGACGGAAGAGGTCGGCTGGCCACGTGGTGGCAATGACAAGGCTCGTGTTGCGTCGCGCCGCTGTGCGCTCCTTTCGCCTCATCTCCAATGACCTCGACGCAATAGAAAAACAAAGGCGGTTCTGGTCAGGGCCAGGGTGGCGAAGGTCAGCGCGGTCAGCGGCGGCCAGCAGCAGCGCCGACGGAACCATCTCGACCACATTCTGACAAGCGTGGTTCAAGTGGTTCGCGGCCAGCAGCTTCGCTCGACAAATCCGGCAGTGCTGGTCCTCATGCAGCGCGTGTCAATGGCGCTGCACCAGACAAGACAGAGCGAGCCAAGCCTGCAGCGCCGTCCAGCAAGTCCTCAAGCCAGACACCGTCTGCGTCAGGACCATCAACACACCAACATCAGCGCGGCAAGACCTCAATGCTCTTTGGCAAGAACGACGATCCCACGCCCGGAGCCAAAGCACCCAAAACAGTTGGCAAGCGCAACACGCGTGAGGTCAAGGTCATGACGGCTCTTTCATTTGAGGATCTGAACATTGCAGACCGCCTGCGCGAGACTCTGCAAACCATGAACCTGAATCGCTTGACGCTACCCCAACAGCATGCCACGCCGCTTCTGCTGCAGCACTGTGATGTCATGCTTAAATCCCCCACGGGTACGGGCAAGACGCTTGCGTACGCCATCCCGATTGTCCAGGATCTGCAGGGTCTTCAACACAAGGTCCGTGCTCTTGCTCATCACCCCTGCCCCACCCCTCACACTTAAACACTGCATGGGCTCGCTTAGCGATCTGGAGGGATTTGCTTCGCTCACACCGCTCCACTGGTGTTGCCCGTGTGTCCAGGTCGAGCGCAGTGATGGCCCTTTGGCCATAGTTCTCACCCCAACCCGCGAGTTGGCTCAGCAGTCGCTGGTATGTTATCCTTCTTTCTTTCTTTCTTTTTTCTTTCTTTCTTTCTTTTTGGACGCACGATACATACCCTGTCCCGAGCGCCCAAACCCCTCTGAGACTTTCGTCGTTCTTGCAACTGCTTGAATGTAGGAGGTCATCCAGCAATTGCTCAAGAGCTTCAACTGGATTGTCCCTGGTGCCATTACTGGTGGCGAAAAGAAAAAGGCCGAGAAGGCTCGACTGCGGAAAGGTGGGCCACCACACCTCATCAGCCGCCCTGCTTGCCTTGCCCCCGTTGGCCATGGCCCCACACGCTTTCTGATGTTTGAGTGGTGTGCACCCATCCTGGGACAATTGGGTGGTGCATGTCCGCGTTAGGTATCAACATTCTGGTCGCCACGCCAGGTCGTATGATGGACCATATCCGCACTACCAAGGCGCTACAACTCAAGTCTGTGCGCTGGCTCATTCTTGACGAAGCCGATCGGTACGTACATGATACCTTTGCATCGAGCCAGCGCCTCTGCTTTTTTCCCGGCTACATTAGAGTGGGTTTTAGCAGGTGGGTCTCTGGCACCTGTTCACCCACGGGGTGCGTGCGTGTTTGCGTGTGGTAGGCTGCTTGACAGTGGTTTTGAGCAGACAGTCAAAGATATTGTCGGCGCTCTCAATCAGGCGCGAGCCAAGACGAACAAGGCCATGCGCCGCACCAATGCCCTGGTTTCTGCAACGCTGACCCCCAAAGTCTTGCGTCTAGCCAAAGTAGGGACACTTTGTTTCAACCTGCATGTTGCAGCCTGCATGTTTCTCTGGTCCATGCAGGATTTATGCGCCCCTTTGGAAACCCATGGCGATAGGACATTACGACCGATACGTATTTCGTGGACACTACCAGCGAGACCGAAGCCAAGCGGGTCTACAAGCTCAAAAACCTGTCTGCACCCGAGCTGACTGAGGAGTCTGATGACAAGGACAAACCCGAGGACGAATCGAAAACAGCCCCCAAAGCATCAACCGCGGAGCCCAAGGCGCCGGCGTCCCAAGTGTCGACTGTGGCCGAGGTGGATGAAGCCGACGTGATCATGGGTGCTGGCGATGACGCGGAAGCCCGTGTCTACATCTCGACCAAGCTGACCCAGTACTACACTGTGGTGCCACCCAAGGTGTGCATGCCTTAGAATGATTGCTCCTGCTTGGCAATGCGGCCTATTCATGATGCTTCTTGCACATCTTGTCTTTGCCGCAGCTTCGACTGGTGGCCATGCTGGCATATCTACGCAAAACCTGCATCAAGAATAAGGTCGGGTCTGACCTGGCAACACTGCCATGGGCTGTTGCTTTTGAGTTCCCTTTTGTTCTGATGCTTGTGCTTGGCCTACGGATGGTCGAGCTGCTTTCCTCGACAAAGCTTTAAGCACCTCATTATGTTTGATGTCGATTCATATTGGTTGGATTCAGGCGTTGGTCTTTGTGCAGAGTCGCGATGAAGCCGCATTCTATGCCGAGCTTTTTACCAAGCTCCAGGTAACGCTCGTGAGCGGGCCCAACGAGCAGGCCATTGGCCGTTTCTGTGGTAGATTAATGCTCATACTGCCGCTTTGCCGACTTGATTCTGCAGCAACCAAAGGAGGGCGCTGGTTTCTCCGCAGACCGGATTCTGACCGGCGTGGAGCTGTACTTTTTGCACGGTGGCATGGAGCAAAAGGATCGTACGGCTTCTTACCGAGCCTTTTGCAAGGTCTGTCCCATTGCTACCGGCTTGTCTTGTTTGGATTTCGCCCCTGTGCCCACTCGGCCTGTGGGGGCGCTCGCTAGTGATCTTGGGTCGCTGTTGTTGTTGTTGTTTTCAAAATGAATGTTCTCATTCCCAAACATGCGTTGGATGACCAGGCAACACATGGCGCACTAATTTGCACCGACGTGGCGGCACGTGGCTTGGACATTCCCCGAGTGAGTTGCGGGACGCGCCCGCCAACTCTGGCGGTGTAGACTTGGTGCACAGCGTGCTCACTGTGCTTTTTGCACTGTAGGTGAGCGGCGTGCTACAGACGTCGTGTGCTCCTACGGTAGCCGATCATGTTCACCGTGTGGGTCGTACTGCTCGGTATGTTTCTGAATCTTCCGGCGTGGCGACTATCTCTTGCGACCAGCAGACTGCTCTAATGACGCTACATTATCTACCCGTCCTGGGTCTGGTGCAGTTTGGAGGCGGGCGGTGAGGCAACTTTGTTTGTGCTTCCAACCGAGCTCGAGTACCTGCAGGTACTTGAGAAGGAGCAGCTGAGGTGTGTAGGCCTTGCAAGGGCGTCATGTTCTTGTGGTTTGCAGGTCCTCGCTTGGCGGGGCTGTTGAGTCCTCGCTTGGCGGGGCTCTTGAGTCTTGTCTTTTCTCGGAGATCCTCGGGGAATCATTCTTGTGACTTGTGACTGTGTAGCTTAACGGCATTGGATGTGATGGACCTGCTGACGTCTTTGACGCTACACCGTGGCGATCGAGATGTGACCAAGCAAGTGGCGTCGCGAGTGCAAATGGCCTGTGAAGAGAATACGACACAAGAAGCCATGCATACCCGTGCTGTGGCCGCGTTCACGGCTTATGTTCGGTACGATTGATGTCTGTGAGCCGTACTGTCAACAGGGGTTGCATTTTGCCTTATTTGGGCCGCTTGTGTGTGCGTAGAGCGTATGCGACATACCCTAGCGCCATGAAGGGGATTTTCCACGTCAAGCACCTGCATTTAGGTCATTTGGCCAAGTCATTTGCGCTGCGCGAGGCGCCGCAGGGCTTGCAGGGGGCAGGGGGCAAGGGTGCTAGCAAAGCAGCACAGGCAAAGAAGAGCAAGCTGACTGCCAAGCAAAAGATGATGCAAAACGCCAAGCGCGTGACCGCTGCGGCGAGCGATGAATTCTCTGGAGGTTTTGCTGGCGCGGGTGCTCGCGCCCCGAAGCGACGTCGTGGCATGGGGCAATAAGTGCCAGCAGGTGCTTGGAAACGTGGTTTCTCTGTGTGATGTTGGTGTTTGCGTGGGGCAGCACGTCTGTGACGGGCCCGTGTAGGTAAAGCACAGAGGGTCGGGATGAATTTGAATTGCGGTGCTTCCACTTCATCCCTACAGATTAATTGATTTCAATCTGTACAAGTTGTGATCCAAGCGCGTTCCATCACGCGCAAACAACTCTTGCGATCAACTGGAGTGAATTGTTTGGTCTTTGTTCCTTGGAGCTCAAGGCATGGCACCCAGCGAGCCAGCTGCGCCAGATCGTTCGTGGCATTGCCAAAACCAACAAAATGTAAGGACCCGATGGCGCAGATGCGTTTAGTGCTGAAGAGCGAATTTGATTTCCGTCTCTTGGCAGATGCACTTGAAGAGTGCTGAAAAACAGATTGAGACATGTAGAAGAGGGTGGCAACAAAGACAGCGACTGGTGCATGCATCGGCACAAGCGGCACGAACCCCGTAGGAACGAGCATCGTCGATACACAAAACGCAGCCACCCCTCTGAAATTTGAAAAAAAATCCGGATCGAGCTGTAATTGCACGATTATTGTTTGGGTCGAAATATGCAATGGCGCCCAACGGTCAAGGAATCAGGGAGGTGTCACTGGGCGGGCTTGAGCCACAGCACAGCCTCGTACACGGTCTAATAAGCAGCAAAAAGCCCTCTTCCTCCTTTTCCAATCAATAACAAAACTCGGGCTCAACATTTAAATTTGCACACACACACACACACACACTTGAAAAAAAATTAATAATTTTTTTATTAATTATTAATGAAGAAGTGTGTAAATTTAAATCAAATTTAAATTTGGCAGGGTTCTTTACTGGTGTTTGCTCGTAGGGGCGGTGACGGTGGCAACGGCGGCGGCGGGAGCGTGTGTAGAGGTGGAGGCGGAGGCGGATGCACGTTGTTGGCAGTGGGGGTGCACTCGGGTGGGCGGTTGCTCGCCGACGTTTTGCTGGGCACTATGGCGCACGATGGGGCTGAGGCTGAGGCTGCGGCGATCGACCTTGAGACGATGGGACGCATGGAGCTAGAGCCTTGGGAAAGCGTTCAGCAGCGGCTGGACTCGATCCGAGCGCGGGCACACCGGCAAATTCACCTTGATGGCAAGCTAGAGGATGCTCTGAAGGGACTCACGGGTGTAATGGCGGAGCGCAACGCCTCAATCTGTGCTTGGGGCTCACGCGTGGTGGCCAACTATGCGCGAGTGGATGGTAAGTGCTGCCGTGCACCAGAGTGGAGGCCTCAGCTCGTAGCTTTTGCAAGGCTGCAAGGAGTTATTTTCTCTCTTTGATGATGCTCATGCCCTCTCCGCCCCCACCTGTATGCCGCCATGATGGGTGACTTGGCCGGACTCGATCTAGCTGAAGCTCGAGACCTCGTTCTCGAGCTGGGCAGCTTGCCAGCCGTTATCACCGTGATGCTTCGACATGCCAGCGCCGCTGATCTCGCCAAAGATGGCCTCACGGCACTACTGTATCTGTGTGACACTGGTACGCCTGTGGCTAATTGGTTTCCGGGTCAGACGCCACCGACAACGCGCTCACTGACTCGATTTCACCCCTCTTCTCAGAGAGTGTCTGCGCCGAAGCTACGGACAATGGCGTTTTCCAAACAAGCTTGGCAGCATGCGACAACTTTGATACGCGTGCCCCAATTCAGGAGCTGGCCGCTCGCACCCTCGCCAAGGTGGCCACTCATGGTGAGCAAGCTAACGCTCCACCGGGGCGTGACCTTTGCCGTTGTCCCTCATCTCTGCCGAATTTGTGCCGGTCCTTCACAGAGAGGGGCGCTCAAGCCTTGGTGGAAGCTGGCATTTTACCTCGCCTTGTGCTGCGTTTGCAAGAGTTTATGGATGTACCGGCCACCATCATCGGGTGCTTGGAATGTTTTGGCGCCGCTGCCCGAACACTCGGTAGGCTCCCGCCAGCTTCCAATTCCCATGTCAATCTATTTTGCTCGGGCTTCGGGCTCTCATCATGCACCCATTTACGCTCTAGCCGAGGCGCGACTGCAATTGTGCATGAAAGAGATGGTATCTCTCTCCTCCAGTTTATTTGAAAAATACGAGCGAGACCCCTTGGTCCTCGCCGCTCTCTCCCGAGCACTTGCTGGCGTAGCCACTGCATGTACGCCCTGCCCGCCTACCCCCTACTCAACCCCAATCGATCCTGCTTGGTGGTTTGCCTCATATCCTAACCCGCCTGCTTCGTTGCCAGTTGAGTTTCGTCAGCTGGTGGCGCGCTCGTCCATGGCCATTCCGTTTGTGCATGCCTTTCACAAGCACGCCAAGCATTCCGAGGTAGCATACCAAGGCTCCGAGCTGGTGGCACGACTCGCCCGCAACCCTGCCGTGCGGTGCGTGCTTGTCGATCGACATCTAAGAAGAATCCCCTTTCTGATTGCCCGTTCGCCGTTGACTGAGGTTTCGGTTGTTCTGTGCCAACGCAGTTTGCTCATGCAAGGACAAGGCGTCTTCCAAACGCTCATGAACATTATGAAGTACCATCGCGGTTGGTCATTCGTTTTGGCAAAGCGTGATGATGCACTAGTGACCCAGGCGTTGGATCTCAGGTTTCTGAGGCCTCACGTGACTCGTATGCGGCTCAGATGATTCAAATATTGTGCTCTTCGCGTGCTGGTCACTGGTCGAGCTCTCGAGCGACGATAAAACTGACGGCGAGGAATCACTCGATCGTGCAGGTGTGCTGCGCGTCATGCATGCTCGACCTTGGTGGGGCCCTGCACATTGGCGAGGTGTGCTCATAAAGTGCCCTCTGTGTGGGATTCCATCTGCTTACTCAACAGACGAACATGGCAAGACCTTGTTACATCGCGTGACCGATTGTATTCTGGATAGCCTGGCCCGACACCGAAAAACGGCAAGCGTACAACGTTACGGCACCAAGGCGCTGGAAAACTTGGCACAGCGCGACGGTGAGAATCACTGCCGCTCTGTTTTTCTCCTTCAAAAGCATGTTATGTTTGAACATGAGCTTGAATACATTCATTCTTGCCCTCATTCGTGCAATCGTTACCAGATAAGTTGCGCATCTATATTGCCCAAGCCAACGGGATCCAAATTGTCATGCTAGGACTTCGTGCACATCTAGACAACGCCCACGTTTTGTCCAATGCCTTCCATTGCCTGGCAGTCATTGCACACGAGGGTAAGGCTCGAGCCAAAGGCTTGCCCTTGGAGTCGTCACTCACTGACATGGGCTTGTCTGTTTTTGCGATCTTGTCTCTGACGATAGACTCGGCCATGCATATCCACATTATCCAGATGCGTGGTGCTGAGGTGGTCGTTTCAGCCATGCGACGACACCCCGACGTAAGAGCTGTGGCTGCCATCTCTCGAGAGTCTGGTTTCTCTTTGGGGCACGCGTGGGGCCTGGTCACCCCTAACTTAACGACATGGCTCATTCATTTTATTGCCCGGGCTCGCCTTCCACCTTGCTTAGAACGAGGGTGTAGCCTTCAACGCTGCGAGGCTGCTGACCAATCTGGCCATGCAAGGTATGTTACTCAGCAACCACTGTTTTGAAAAGGTTTGATATACCTTAGGTTGAGTACCGTCCTCGATTTGTGGTGCACATGACAGACCTTTGCCGCGCGGAGGCTGTTCGACAAGGATGCCTCGATTTTGTGCTAAATGCTCTGGAGAAGCACGGAAGTTCCGCCGACATGGCATTTTATGGCTTGCGGTGCTTGGATAATCTTGCCATGCACGGTTGGTGCTCTTTTGTCCAGCCAAGAAAAAGGCGTCCACTCACAACACTTTTCTCTCAGCCGGGACTCGAGATAAGTGCTGGATCGTGACGCGAGGCCTCATCCACGTGTGGTTTTTCTGTCTTTCGATAGACGCTGTGCGCGCACGGCTGCAAAGCCCGGTTACAAAGAAGCTGATCGTGGGAGTATTAGTACATTTTGAAGATGATGCCGATGTTCAGCTTGCTGGGTGTCGATTGATTGAGCGCCTGGCGTTTAACGGTGAGAACTTCACGTGACTGCATCAAATTTTCGGCCGCGTGCGTGTTTTTCACAGGTCATTCAAAACCTTCTGCCCGTGCTATCAGAGACTTCCAAGCCGGTGGCTGATAAAAGCGGAGTGGTTTGTGTGGTGCGTGGTCTGTTGAACCACGCCGAGGAAGAAGACCTTCTTGAAACGGCTACCATGGCCTTGACAAGCTTATTGCTTCACGGTACGTGTGTCATGAACCTGCAAAGACAACGTATGCATGCGCTCGACTGGTCGTCACCACTCGACGGTGTCTGAGTGTCTGACATCACTCGCCGCACCATGTAGCGGCCAATCGCGAGACGTTGCTCAGCATGGGCAAGCTGGATCTACTCTGGCAGTGTTTGGCTCGAGCACACAACACCACGACGGACCTGGCTGTTGCCAGCATTGTCAATGCTTTGGCTTATGGAAACGGTGAGCGTCGCTCTTGGAATGTCCAAAAGCTTGCTATCGCGCAGCTAATCTCGGGGCTGCTCCTACCCAGACTCGGCAACGGGTGAACTCTTGGAGCTTCAGGCGGCAGAGCATCTGATTGCTCGGGCTCGCAGCACTTCCAACTACCAGCAAGCGGCTGTGGTTCTTGCTGCGCTTCGCAACTTGTCGTCCCACCTCGGTAACCTCGGCCCCCGCTCGAAGCTGTCGATGCTTGCGCTATGAAAAGTGCGGCTGCATCACCATGGACTGATGATAGCTCATGTATTCACATCATGTCTCGGGATGTTGATGCGCGTCTTGGATCACTAGAGCCACATCGGCGGGCAGTTGTAAATGCCAACGCAATTGAATTCGCGCTTGACATCATGCAGCGCTGGAACGGGGACGAGAACATGTCCTTTTACGCTCTGGCGCTCATCAACAACCTTTGCCGATTGCGCGGTAAGGTGTTGAGTGGGATCGAAACTCTCAATGTGTTTGCCGCCCTGAAGGTTTATTTTATGTTCTGCTCAATTGTGTGCGCATATACTTGACGCAGATGTGGCGCATGCGGCTGTGAAAACCCGCTTGCCAGCCTTCGTATTGGCCGTGTTGGAGCACGGGGACCATGACTCACGGTCGTACCGTGCCGCGTCGGAGTTGTTGGGACGCTTGCCAGAGCTCACAAAGAAGCAGCGACGGGATAGCTTGCGTGAGGCATCAGTCATCGTCCGGGCAGGGCGCTTGTCACCTGACACACAACTCATTTTGATCGAGGACGTGGATGAGGAAGTTGAGAGCAGCAATGACGATTCATTTCGCACTTGGGCATCTGAGGACGACGGCAAGGACGGCATTGAGGCACCGCTCTCGGATCGAGCCACAGCCGACTTGGCCCAGCTGCAGCTGGGGGAGCAGTTTGAGTTTGGCTTGCCCTCAACATCTCGGCCTCACCGTGACTCACTCACGTCGAACCATGGTTTGGAGCGCCCGACCCAGTCAAATGGAAACGTGCAGGAGCAGAAGCGTGTGACTCCGACGACCCCTGCTGGAGCAGCGACCATGCCGTCACGGATCATCGAGGAGAACATTGCGGAGGAGAGCCAGCCCTATCGCGTGCATCATGCTGCGCTAAGCGATGCTGGCAACAAGAAATCGCATCCAAACACGCGGCCCACATCCTCATCCTCAAGCCGTATGTAATGTCCACGCGTGCGAAGCACGCCTACATGAAAGCATTTTCCAAAGGAAAAAATTAAAAGATGAATGATGGTAATTGATTCGAAATTTTGAAAGAACGGGGCATGCGCGCGCTCTCATGTGTGGCAATATTATAATCATGATAAAAAAAAAAAAGAGGTCAATTAAAAGCTTGGAGCAGATGTGACAACCACTGGGAGCGTGAGTGTCGCAGAGAAACGCAAAGCGTGGCTGATGAAGCACGATGACCCCTCACTTTGCCCGGCAAAGCGCTTGAGGAGGCGGGCGTGTGGGGATTTTGTTTTGTTGAAAGCTGACAGCCGCAAACGCCGCCAGGTCGTCTTCTGTGAGGTCGGTTTCGGCCGAGTAGATGGTCTGTGAGTCCTTGAGAGCAACGGGCTCTAGAGAGCAAGACACAAACACCAAAGAAGAAACCATGAGGGGGACAGGGCCATGAGGGGAAGTGAGCGCTCGTTGGGATTGTCGACCAGAACGACGTAAAGAGTGAATTTCAACTTTGTTTCGAGGCAACAGACCTGACAAGGAAGGGTTCTGGCGCGCACGTTGAATGAGTGCTTCTAGCGCTGCATCGAAAGCGGGACCAGTTGCTCTCTGATGACCGGCGTTTGTGGATGAAGGCTTTCCAAAGACGCCACCACTCATGGGTTTGGAGCTCTGTCCAAAAGCACCGCCAGAGGTTTGACCAAAGCCCTGCTTGGAGTTGGACCCTTGAGCTACGAAGCCATTGTTATTGCCAGATTGACCAAACGTGCCACCCGACGGAGCGCCTTTGGTACTTTGACCAAATACGCCGCTGCCAACACCACCAGAGCCTGTTCCAGTATTTCCAAACACGCCGCCGCTACTGCCACTGGGATTCGGCGTAGCTTGACCAAACACACCACCAACAGACCCGTTGCCTCCCTTGCCACCCGGCTTGGCACTTTGACCAAAAACACTGCCGCTACCACCAGCATTATTTTGACCAAACACGCCATTGTTGCCACTTGGTTGGGCACTCTGACCGAAAACACTGCCGCTGCCGCCGCCACTACTTTGACCAAAGACGCCATTGTTGCCACCTTGTTTGGCGCTTTGACCAAAAGCTCCACTGCCGCTGCCGCCTGATCCGGTGGCGGACTGGCCAAAAAGACCACCGCCACCTGGCTTGGCACTTTGGCCGAAAGCACCCCCGCCTCCGGGCCTTGCGGCTTGGCCAAAGAGACCACCGCCGCCACCACTTGGTTTTGGGCTCTGGGCAAAGGCCCCGCCTCCGGGACTTGCGGCTTGGCCAAAGACACCGCCGCCACTTGACTTGGCACTTTGGCCAAAAACGCTACCGCCTCCGGAACTTGTAGCTTGGCCAAAGAGACCGCCACCGCCACCACTCGGTTTCGGGCTCTGGGCAAAGGCCCCGCCTCCAGGACTTGCAGCTTGGCCAAAGAGACCACCACCAGTCCCAGCTCCGCTTTGCCCAAAAGTGGTACCTGCGCCCATTCCCGAATTAACATTGCCCCCACCAAAAATGCCGCTGCCTTGATTACCAGCTCCGGCCCGGGCGAATCCCGAAGAGGTACCTGCGTGTTGCCCAAAGCCGCTTTGGCCAAAGGTGGATGAGCCTGCTTGTTGCCCAAAGGTGGCCTGAGGCTGCTGCCCAAAGGTGGCCTGTTGGCCAAAGGTGGCCTGTTGTCCAAAGGTGGCCCCGGCGGCGCCGCCTGTGGGATGGACGTTCCGACATTTGGCACCAAAGCGGCACTTTCCCTGCAGAAAGTAATTGCACACCTGCTGTGCCATGGTGATGATGGCCTCACGCCCACCCCACCCAACAGCAACGAGCCACTCTCATCCAGCAAACTCCAACCTATATTCATCCAAGGTCAACGTCGTCGATGGCGCTCACTGGTGGCGCTGACCGGTGGCGCTGTCCGTCGTCGTCCCCGCCCAAAAAAAAAAAAAAATAGAAAACGTTGCTCCTCAAAAAAAAAATTGAAATCTCTCTCTCTTTCGAATCTCTCAAATCTCTCTCAAATCTCTTAAGCTCTCTCTCTCTCTCTCTCTCTCTCTCTCTCTCTCTCTCTCTCTCTCTCTCAAACTCTCTCTCTCTCTCTCTCTCTCTCTCTCAAACTCTCTCTCTCTCAAACTCTCTCTCTCTCTCTCTCTCTCTCTCTCTCTCTCTCTCTCTCT